AATCAAACATGTCGATGGTTGCTACCAATTTACCCTCTTGACTAAGGACCCTTCTTTTTTTGTATACACAACTTAAAGCCAAGTGCCTGACATATAGTATGAACTCAGTTACTCTTTGTCAAATAAGGTTATGAATGATGGTTTTCAGAAAAGCAATGCTCAATGCTTATTTGTCTAATAAAATGTATTATGTTTACTTAATTAATTATATGGCTAATATATACATATAGTACAAAATCCAAACAATACAAGTTGTAGAGTGTGACAAGAAAATCACATGCCCATCCCAGTTCCCCATTTCTTCTCCCCACAGTTAACAGACTTTTCTATATCTGTCCAGAGGTATTCTATATATATTTTATTTTTAACCTCAAACTATATTTTTAACAATTCTTTTATAACAATACTAATATTAAATATGGTAAACAGATGTATGCTTTTGTGTGTATTGCCTCACTTGATATAATAACCTCATGAGATATAAAGGTAGAGCAAGATAGAGTCCATTTTAAGGATATGGACGTTGAAGCTAAGAATAGCCTCAAAGGATTTCACAATCAAAAAGCATGTTGATAGACAGTCAAATCAGGACTGTCACTTGGTCCCAGTTCAGAGCTGTTTATCCAATACCCTTTATTTTCCTCATAAAATGATGTTAGTTTACATATGATGTATTTGCATATTATGCATATCATACCTTGCCAATCCTGCAGTGCCTTGTAAGAACCAGAACCTAATTTCAGAATACTACCTTCTCAAATGTCTTTCTTTCTCTTTCTGGTGATGTGTTGAATTAATGTTCACATCTAGAATACTATTCTTGGATTTGTAGGGTCACAGGAGCACCATCATTGCAAGGCTTCCTTTAATTTAAAGAGTCAGATGCCCCTCTAGTGTCACCGACCCTCAGCTGGGTTCTCCAGGCTGATGAAAAGCCTTCTAAGTCCGACTTAGCCCATCCCTCTTTCCTCATAACATATCCTAAACCTTCAGCACTCTCACTTCCTAGCCCACCATCTTATCATCACTGAAAACAAGCCAGCCTCTTTGTTCATGGAAGGAAGTGTTTCAACTTCCTCCCTGCCCTGACCTTTTCTCCCTTCTCAAATCTAGCTGAATCTCCTGCATCCAAATTTGTGATGACTCCCTGTGCCTTATATTCCTTTGCTTCCTTACTTTTTAGATGGCTCAGGTCCTCAGAAATACCCTATCTTGCCTATGTCCTCAGTTTCTCTTTTTTTTTCTCTCTCCTAACTGTTCTTCCTGTCACCTGGCACTTTTCCTTTAGGGTACGTGTGTGCTCAGGCCTCTTGCACCTTCCCTCTGCCTCCCCTCACCACTCACTGCCTTGAGCTATCACAGCTAACCTGTGAAAGAGTAGCCTGCACAGAGCGTCCCCACTTCCTCGGCATCCCATTCACTCCTGGTTTTCCTCCTGACACTCTGAGCAGCACTTAGCAGACGCCTTTGCAGGCTTTCCTTCCAGAAGTTTATTTTTCCGGTTTCTCACCATGCATCCCAGTAAATTACTTTCAGTTTTCCCAAACTTCTTTGCTCTCACTTCTGCCTGGAACATCTTTCTTCTTCTTTTCCATCTTTATACTCCTACACTTTTCAAGACTAAGGTGAGCTTCCAGCATCCATGAAGACTTTGCCTAAGCCACCAGAATGAGTTTGGTTCCATTTGCATTTTCTTGTGTCATCCTCTGTTTCCCTTTGCTCTTCTACACACATTACACATAATGCATCATTTAATCCCTACAACAACTCTTTGAGGCGAGTACTATTATCCCAGTTATACAAATGAAAAAACTGAGGTCCAGGTACATTAAGTTACTTTGTTATAGAGCAATTAAGTGAAAAGTCTAGATCTGAACCCAGGCATTCCAACTCAAGCCCATATGTTTAACATCTTCTACCCACCCCCTGCACTCTACCTTTAACCTGTGAGCTTGTTGAATGAACATTCATTTTTTTAAATGAATAATCTTAAAAAACTGATCAGAATTGAGACAGGTTTTTATTTCATAGTATAGATTTTCAAAACTGCCAACACAGCACAAACCTAAATAAGGCCATGACATCCTCAGGGAAGAAGAGAAGAAAGAAAGTTTGAGGAGGGTAATGGAAATAACCAACAAACTTTAGAATTTTGGAAGCTTTTTGACATACATCGCCTTATTTTATCATTCCATGAAATATATTATGACTCCATTTTACACGTGGGGAATCTGAGACTGGGATAACCAGCACCAGGATCCTGGGGTTTATATTTTATTTCTTCTGAGGATTTTCCCCTCAGGTCTGAGCTGATATACATGAGTAAATTGGGAGTTTGGTAGTTCTTTAAAAGAAAAACTAGGAAAGCTTTCATACTATTATTAACTACTTATTTACACAAGATTTCCAGTGGAGTATGGGATCAACTTCCAGAACAAAGGGGCCATACTCAAGGATACCATAATCTTTGGGGAACTCAACTGTAAGTGCTGGAGCTAACGCATACATGTCTAAAACCTGCTCTTGAAGAAAGTCAATCTCCATGTCTGTATATAACGCATCCAAGGGATGTTTTTATATGGTTTTATCACCCATTTCCTCCAGTAACCGTCCAATATATTGTATGAGAGTTTAAAGAGTTCCTGATGTAGGAATCTATAGTTGAGTTTTAGAAGAATTTCTGAATTCCCTAAAAGTTATATGTGCCAGTGAACACACTTTTTAAATAAAATTGCATACTTTATTTTTTGAGGAGAGGATATATAGCTTTCAACAGGTTCTCCAAAGGGCCTACTCTCCCTGCCCTAAGATTAGGAAACATCATTTTAGTGATGAGAACTAATTTTGATATTAGTCCAAAAAGCCGGACATATTACAAGGGAAATCTGTTCCCTCCATCCCATCACCACAACGGCTATTTTCCCCTCCCCCATGATACAATACCTTAAGCTACATTAAAAGAATTTTATGTTCTCTACCACAGTTTGAATTTTCCACACCATTGTTGCCCTAATGATTGAGAGGTGCCAGGAGGAAAATATAAATGGCACAGTGATGGATTTTTATAATGGATTTGATACCCCATAAGTGTTTTAATTGGCATCACTTAAAACTTCATGTGTTGTCTAATCTAACAGCAACTGAAAGTACAGTCAGGTATTCTGGGTCTTCAGGAGGAGTCAAGTCTGTCATACGGAGTGAAGTAAGTCAGAAAGAGAAAAACCGAATACCGTATGCTAAAGCATATATATGGGATCTTAAAAAAAAGGTTCTGAAGAACCTAGGGGCAGGAAAGGAATAAAGACACAGACGTAGAGAATGGACTTGAGGACACGGGGAGGGGGAAGGGTAAGCTGGGACAAAGTGAGAGAGTGGCATGGACATATATACACTACCAAATGTAAAATAGATAGCTAGTGGGAAGCAGCCGCATAGCACAGGGAGATCAGCTCAGTGCTTTGTGACCACCTAGAGGGGCGGGATAGGGAGGGTGGGAGGGAGAAGCAAGAGGGAGGAGATATGGGGATATATGTATAGCTGATTCACTTTGTTATAAAGTAGAAACTAACACACCATTGTAAAGCAATTATACTCCAATAAAGATGTTAAAAAAAAAAGAGTCAAGCAGGTACTGAAACATAACTTTTAAAATAGAGCTGGGTTATGTAGTAGACAGATGAAGCATGTGATTAAGGCATCTGCAAAGCCTGAGCAACCCAGTCTTTTAAAAAAGTATATATATGTGTGTGTGTGGTGTGTGTGTATATATATATGTATATATATGTGTGTGTGTGTGTGTAATAACCACAGGATAAATTAGAAACTTGGATTTTCTTTTGCTTATTATCCTCTTCATTCTGTTAAACTTTTCATTAAATATGTCGGCTTTTGGAGGATGTCTATCATTGTTTCGGTGATTAAGGTCTTCTTGCCTTCCCTTTTGTATAATATGGATAATTCTACCCGAAGCATTTTCTTCTTTGTGTCTCATAACAGGATTGCAAAAGAATCCTCAAAATGGATAATTTAAGAGCTAACAGGCATTAGCTTAGGATGTGTGACACTGTTCTAAATACTTATGCGTATATCAATTCATTTAAAACTCAGAACAGTCCTGTGAAGTAGGGACGACTCTTATCCCCCCCCCCGCCGCCGCATTTTATAACTAAGAAAATTTTAAGGTTTTTCCAGTAGGAAGGAGAGGTGTAGGGGGAGGGACAGAAGCGGCGCCAGGACAGTGTGTGAGCCTGGTCTCTGAGTCAACTCTGAATGCAACTCTGCCCCTAGAGCGCTGAGCACTTTTTCTGGTCTAGGAGGAATTATTTATTAAGAACGGAGCCTATCAGCCCAGTGACTCGCTTGCCACTTTCCTATCTGCTTATAGGCAGAAATCTCCACCATCCCTGTTAAATAGACCTCATCTTCTCGGAGCCAGCCCGTATACTAGGCACTAGTACCAGGCATTGTGTAAGCCTCGGAAACGCTCTCTCCCGACATCCGTTTTCATGTGTGTGGAGGGAGGGAGGCACAGGCTGGCGGGTGAGCCCACTCTCCAAAATGAACGTTTGAGCTAGAATTTCTGGCATAGCAGAGCCAGCGCGCGATATCCAAGTGCTGAGTGTTGGAGGGGGAGTGTGTCGTCTGAAAGAAGGGAAGGCTCATGGTGGCATGGGTGATATCGATCCTCGGCTCTTACCGCGAGGACAGGCTGGCCGTTTCTTCTGATTAAAAGAGGAAGCAATACTTTGCCTAGGACACCAAACACATTGGTTCGAACTTGGCAGTTAGGAATCCCGTGCAGCTCTCTAATGCCAGGCAGGGTGTACACGAAAGGAATTTCGCTTTGGTGGAACGAACTCGCTCAGAGCTGCGCGTGCGCCTCTGCTGGGGGTGGGGGCGCAGCGCTGGGAGGAGGGCGCGGGGGACGCGGGGAGGGGGGCAGGTGGGAGGGCCCTGGGTGCCCTCCAGCCGGGGCTCCGCCGCGCTCCAGGGGCGGACCGCTTCCGGCCGGTGCCCCCAGGCGGGCGGGCGGAGGACTCGTGACTGCGGAGGCATGAAGTGGGGCCCATTCAGCGGTGTCTCATTTGCAGCGCGTTGGGAGCAAAAGGCGCCTCCTGGAAGAACGCGTGGAGGGCGCTCTCCGGGGTGGAAAGAGTCCGCGGGAGGAGTCGAGGAGCGGAGTCTGGGGGCCGCTTCCGCGGGCCCTGGAGGAGGGAAAAGGAGGGGCGGGCTGCTCCCGGGCGGCCGGGGCGGGCCGCCTGCACTCCAAGGAGGCGGGAGAGGGAGAGTGAGGGAGCGAGGGGCGAGCGTTGGGGAGCAGCATGGAGACCTCGGCTGACTGGCTGGCCACCGCCGCCGCCCGGGGCCGGGCTGACGAGGTGCGAGCGCTGCTCGAGGCGGGGGCGCCGGCCCACGCGCCGAACCGTTACGGTCGGAGCCCGATTCAGGTAGGTCGGCAGGCCTGCCGCGGGAAGGTGGAGGCGGAGCGGGGCGGGGGGATGGCGGGCGACTTAGAAGGACGAGGTTGGCCGGTGGATCGGAACCAGGTAAGCGTTTCTTGGTAAAGGGGAGACTTCCTGGGAAGTTTTCAGACGGAGGTCGGAGTCGGAGACCTCCTCTCGGCGACGCCCAGGGGGCTCAGGAAGCCACCGGAGGACTGAAAGGCACATGGGGTTCAGATCTCTAGACTGGTGTGAAGATCTAGAGGGGAGAGCCTATTTGTGTTCATATAAACCGAGGTATGCTCTTCATCAGATGCGAAATTGACGAACATTTGGGGTAAGAGTTTAAAGAAATGGAAGATTTGCTGGACCACTTAACCCCGAACTCACTGAATGGGGAATGGAGCTGATCATCTTCTTTGTTGGGAGTGGGGGGAGGGATTTCAGTGGAAATCTCCTGCTGTGTATGTTGGAATAAAGGTCGATTTAAATTTTTCAGAAGTAACTACACATCGTGTTTGTTTTTTTTAACCGAGTAAGGAAAATATATGCTTGTTAGGAAATAGACATATCTGAAGAAAAACGTTAATGTAACCTTGCCTGAAATAATGCTGTCAATTTAGTTAACCACTTGGGGAGTATCTCCTATCATTTTGGGTATTTTAAACTTACTTGATATAGGTTAATTTATTTGAGAGTTTTCAATTCCTCAGAGTTTAAAAATGTCATTTCTCCCCTCCCCACTCTAGTTTTGTGTGTGTGAGGGTGTGTTGAGTTCGTTTTTCTGTTGTTTTTTGCCTTCACTAACTTCCTAAATCTGAGGCTAAAGACACATTCTTCTTGGCAGTCACTACCCTTGTTTTACGCCCAGTTTTGACAATGATTTCTGATTCTGAAAAACAAAATTTATATGAAGCAAATGCACATTGCAAAAACTCCAGCCTAACAAGACAAAGGAAAAGTAACTCCACTTGGAACTTAACAGATTTCACAAGTGAATCTTCCTTTCCTGAAACTATGCTACACAGGATAAATTTTACACACTTTTAGATACAGATATAAAAATAAAACTAAAATACCTTCAAATTTGAGATTATTTGGGATTTGAAATGTGGAGAGATTTGGGGAGAGAAAGGTTGAATGGTTGTAGAAGAGAAGCATTGAGTCCTTTTTAAAAAATGCATGCCTGAGTCATAATTAGATATCTCTAAAATTTTGCCAGCACCTTGCAGACTGGGCGTTCAGCCTTCGAGTTCTAGAAGGTGTTAGATGAGACCTTATTGTTTAAATACAAAAAGAAAGTTGGATAATTAATTTTAAATCATTTTTAAAATAGGATAAAAGCATAAACAAAAGGGGGTATGATTTTAGTTTTGAACCCTAACCAAATTTGTGTTTAATAGAAAAATACTTAGTTTATAGAAAAATTTTAATTACTAAATTAAATTTAGGTCATCAAGTTAACTTAGGCACCCTATAAATATTAGTTTGTTTGATTAAGTTTCTTTTTGCTTTGGATTGCTATTGTTTAAGTATTTAAATGTTGTGTTACTGTGACATATAATAAAACATTTAAAACCAATTTTATGACTAAGATGAAGGACTTTATTTATCCAACCCAACTAATATATTTTCACTTGCATTATATACAGGAATGGAAGTGTGCAGACATGTACTAGCTCTGGCACTTGCAGTAGAGCTTCCAAAACATTATGACATCATCCTTGGGTGTGGCCCCTTTGTTTTGGAAATTAACCCATAATCTATTAGAAATCTAATAGTGTAAATAAGTAGTTAATAATATTGTGACAGTTTCACCAGTTTTTCTTTTAAAACAATTCTTTCTTCTAATGCACTGCATTAGTTTTTCTTTCTTTTTGTAGCTGTAAGTTGGTTCACTTATATTTTCTCTCTGTCTTTTTGAAAATTAAATCAGTTTCACTTTCTCCAGGACAGGAATCAACAAACATACTGTAACTTGGTATGATTCTGTTATGATTGGTTTGGACAGATTAATTTGTGTTTAATACAGAATGTAACTAAAAATAAGTAATTCCTCTTTATACAGTCACTATGGTCTAGCTAATATAACCAAATAATGGTTACCCTAAAAAAAGAATAGTCTACCACCACCACGCACCATGTAACACTCAAACTGTAAGGTTGCCGTGATTGTGAACACCATTTCAAAATTCCTCTTTAGTAATGGCTTTGTATCAAAGATTATTTAGGAACCAAATGAGGTGAGCACCCCCCTACTTAGTGAACTCTCAGAGTGTAATCTTGGAAGGTGTCTGAGTTTCCTATTTCTGCTATAACAAATTACCACAAATTTAGTATCAACATAAATTTACTATTTTATGTTCTGGAAGTCAGAAGTCTAAAATGGATCCACGGGGTTGCACTCCTGTTGGGAGTTCTAAGGAAGAATCCATTTCCTTGTCTTTTCTAACGTCTAGTGACAGTCAACTTTCCTTGGCTCTTGGCCCCTGCATCTTCTCTCTGACCTCTGCTTCCATTCATATATCTTCTCTCTGACTGTGCCCTTTTTATAAGGAAACATGTAATTAAGTTGAGCCCACCCTGACAATACAAGTTAATCTCCCTCAAAATCCTTAATTTAACCACATCTGCAAAGTCCCCTTTGCCATACAAGGTAATATATTCACAGCTTTTGAGTGTTAGGAAGTGGACATCTTTGGGGGGCATTATTTAGTTTACCAGAAGAAGGAATTTTAGGGCTGGTTAGACAAACTTTCTCATTTTATTCTTAAAGAAATTGAAGTTTAACGTTCAGGGAAACCAAGGGTAGCTTAAAGTTTTGCAAGAATTAAGTTTTTGTCATTTTTTTTCATTTTTGCTTTTAAACAATTACCACGTTCTGGGCTTGGATATACAGCAGTGAGCCATAGAAAATCTCCGAGCCTTACATAATTTCATATCAAAATGAGGAAGAAAATAGAGGAGGTTAGGCTGTAGTAAAAGCCAGCTTGTTCCTCACCCTTTTGCTGTTGTCTGTGACTCTGGCAGTTTTCTGTGCGTGGCTGGAACCCTGCAGAACGTTGGAGAATATAACAGAATGTGTACAGGAAAATGGAATAGGTAGGAGAACTGGCTAAGCGAGCTGGTAACTGAAAGAAAGTAGTAACTAGACACCTGTGGCTTGTAAGGGCGTCTGCACGGGCTGGGGGCTCCGCAAATAGTTTCTTTAATCCTGCCCTTGTCCCCACCCCGGTCCTGACCGCTCTGCTCTCTCCGGCAGGTCATGATGATGGGCAGCGCCCGCGTGGCCGAGCTGCTGCTGCTCCACGGTGCGGACCCCAACTGCGCGGACCCCGCCACCCTCACCCGACCCGTGCACGACGCCGCCCGGGAGGGCTTCCTGGACACGTTGGTGGCGCTGCACCGAGCCGGGGCGCGGCTGGACGTGCGCGACGCCTGGGGCCGCCTGCCCGTGGACCTGGCTGAGGAGCGGGGCCACCGCGACGTCGCCCGCTACCTGCGCGCTGCTGCAGGGGGCACCGAAGGCGGGAGCCACGCCCTCGCAGACTCCGCGGAAGGTCCCGCAGGTGAGGTGGCTGATCCACGAGTTTGAACTCAGCTTCCGCAGCCCAGCGCACTCACTTTTCGGAAGAGAAAGTTGGGCCCAGGAGACTAGGGTATTTGGTCCTACCTCAGCTCACCCTGCCAACCCGTGGGACAACTCCAGTCTCCCGATCGCGCTGCCTCGTTAGGACTGCAGACGGGAAATAGCCCAAGATGGAATGTCGCACGTTAAAGCCCATCCCATAAACCGTGCCTCCCATCCCCTAAACACTTGAGAACCAGACGGTGGAAAATTGAGCACTCCGGAGGCTAGAGGTCTAGTGGCCCCTCTTCCTGCAAATTAGCTGGCTAGCAGCATCCTTTCAACGGCCCCCAGTTTCCCCACTAGTTTAACAAGGTCGCTGAATCAACCCTGGAATTTCCAAAGCCAACTGCGCGTGGCATCATCTGGCAGAGATCTATCATTCCCGTCTCTATTGCAAAACTCTGCTAAATCCGACCTTCCGCTCTATGCGGTGGAGTTTTTCAGAGCTCCCCCAGTGGGTTCTGAGGGCGACTGGGATGGAGACCTCGCCAACTCTCGCAGTCTGCACACTGGGATTCGCTGTACTCTCTGAGAAACAGAGACTCTCTTAAGCTTTTCCCTCTCTTAAGCATTCTGTTATGATGGATATGTGGACCTCCTTCCCTTTTCCTACGACCACGAGGACTTCTTTTCCCTTGGCCCATTTCCCCCACTTCACTCCTACCTGCTTAAAGTACCAACTTTACTCTGACTTTTTTCTGAAGGGGGAATCATTTTATCTACCTATCTATCTACCTACCTACCTATCTATCTATAGCAATATACGAAATTACGCGAAAATTTAAGGTAAACCCTGACTTCGAAGAGACTGAAATCTATCGTATTTTGGCTCAGAACTGGGGCACTAGGCTCCCTGTGCCTTAGGCGAGCCTAGGAGGACAGAGTAGAAAGGCTTGCTCTGGACCTTTGGGAGATGTCTTGAGTGCTAGGCCTTGGGTGTGAGAGGCACCCATATCTCCTTTAGCCTGCCACCCTCTCTCTCCTCCAGCTGAAGCTTCCGTATGGAATGCGGCATAGGACTAGGGGCCAATCACAGGGCTGTTGGGCGGAGCAAGAACTGGGAAGAGCTGAAGAGAAGGATTTAGATGATCGAGTTGGGCCACAGGCAAATGAATAATCAAACCTAAGATATTTAACCCAGGTACACACCATCCCTCCCTCCTTCCCTTCCTCCCTCCCTTCCTTCCTTCCTATTTTTTAAGTTCCTACTTGCGTGATCAGCCCCGTTCTAGATCAGACACAAAAGTGAATAGGACAAAATGGGAATCCTGCCCTCATAGAGCTTACATTCTGGGAAGTAGATTTTTAAGCAATATAACTGTATTTCGAAGAGTGAGTTTGTAAAACCGATGTGGTGGATAAGAGTGAAGTGTGAATAGGCGGGGAGACTATCTTAAGAGTGGTCAGAGAACCTGAGTCATGAGAAGAGATTAGCCACGGGAGGCAGAGAAACTCGAGTGCAAAAACTTACATGAAAAAGAGCGTGACAGTTTAAGAGGACCCAAAGGCCAGCTGGAGCGAGTACACGAGATCAAAGAGGAGGGCAGAGGCCAGATAACGTAGTAGTGGCCCTGTAAGTCAAAAAAAAAAAAAGGATGTTAGGTCAAAACATGGATTTTGTTCTAGAAACGTTAGGAAGCCATTAGCAGGTTTGGGAGATAGGGTCTGGGAAAGAAGATACGACTGGAACGAAAGGTTCTCACACTGCGGAGCGCCCCTGAGACTGAGGTGCTCTCTGGTTATGCGAGTTCGCCGAATCGCTGTGCGTCAGGTGCAAGAGATACCTGGGGACGTTCGAAGGGCAAAGCGACCCCTTCACCTCCAGTCGCCTGGCATTATGTGTGGCAAACAACTTGGCACTCGTTATAGACCTGCTTGGTTCTCGCAACCCCGCAAGTTGCGCGGCTGCTGTCTCCCTGCCCTCGTCGGGCGCGTCCCGAGAGCGGGAGCGGCCTGGCGAGCCCGGAGCAGCCCGGCGGGTCAAGCGGACGCGCTGCGAGATCGGGAAGGCTCGAGAGTGCGGCGGCGGCTGGGAGGGTCCAGACTCCCTAGACAGACGCTGGGCTGAGGGTTGGTGGATGTTAAGAAGCTGTGTCTGCATAGCCAGTGGGGGGCTGCGATAGAGGAGGGAGGGGTCGCACGTCTTTGACTTCTGGTTTCTAATGTCTTTTTTCTTTCTGCCGTCTACAGACAGTCCCGCCCTAAAGAATCCTTGAAATCTAGAGACACTTCGACTACGTATTTGATCTTCAGTCGTCGAAGTTTGAATACAAGAACTACCCCCACCATATCTGTCTTCCCTGCGTAGTTCCAATTCATCAAATAACGCTTTTTAAAAATTGGAACTGCCTCCCCCTTCCTTCCCTTAAATTTTGCTATAAAATTAAAAAAAAACAAAACCCGACACTGTTCTTGTCTTTTCATCGTGTTGGAGTTTTCGGGAGTCAGTACTCAGGCTCTGGGAACACATCTAAGCGGGCACTTCCTCTTTCGAGCCTCGCACCCGCCAGGCGCTGAGGATATTACAGCCATTTTGTGAACTAGGAAAACGAAGCTTAAATGGCTTACGTGACGCTTCTTGTGTCAAACTGCCCGCAAGGGGCGGAGCCAAGGCGCAAAAAATTTTAAAACAAATAGGGTTCTTTCCGTTCACTCAGTCAACATTTATTGAGCACCTATTATGGCACCTTACCAGGGGTATAGTTGGGGGGGCGGGGGGAACAGATGTCCCTGGACAGGGCCAGGGACATCAACTAAAAAGCACACAACACATAACTAGAAATTTTAAGGCCTATTTCATTGAATCGCCGATATAGCATTGTTTCTGAGACTCACCATCGTTTCACATACCTCTTAGAAAGAAAAACGCTGCAGGTAAGAGTGCATACCATAGGTTGATAAGACACATTCGGATTTCAGATAATGAAATGTCAAAAGCTGGGACTTTAGATCGATGAAAAGGGGTAAAAAGTGATAAATGGGAACTCCAGGGAGACCTCAGATTGAGACTTCCCTTACTTACCTGGCTCCAGAATCCGAGCCCCGTAAGTAAGGTTTTGGGTATTTTGCACAAAGCGTCACAGCCAATAATAGGTGGCGGAGCCTGCAGAACGTGACCCACAACCACGCGCAGAGTTCTGCATCCCGCTGGGGCCTGCGTGAGCTGGTCCTCCAGGCCGGCCCAGCGCCCCGGAATTCGACAGCGGCGGGCTGTGAGATTGTGGCTCTGAATGCCACCCAAGACAAAAGCAGCTCCGCGCTTCTTTGCCAGAGCAGGGATGTTGCAGGAACGTAGCTCCAACTTCAGCTGGGGCTGCCTCAGTCTCCGTTGCTTATTGAAGTGAAATTCACATAAGATTAACAATTTTAAAGGGTGTAATTCAATGGCATTAGTACACTCACAATGTTGTGCAACCATCGCCATTTATCTAGTTCCAAAACATTTTCATCATCCCCAAAGGCGACCCCATACCCATTAAGCATATTCATTAGATCCTCCCTGTCCCCAGACCCTGGCAACCACTAATCTATTGTCTCTATGGATTTACCTATTCTGGACACTTGATGGTAAGTGGAATCATACAATATGTTGCCTTTTGTGTCTGTCTTCTTTCACTTAGCATACTTTTTTTTGAGGTCTATCCATGTTGTAGCATGTAGCACTCCTTCTTATGGCCGAATAATATTCCATTGTTTATCTTGTCATCTGGTAATGAACGTTTGGGTTGTTTCTACCTTTTGGCTTTTGTGAATAGTGCTGTGAACGTTTGTATACCAGTATTTTTTTGAATACTTGTTTTCAATTTCGGGGGTATATACCTAGGAGTGGAATTGCTAGGTCATATAATAATATGTTAAACTTTTTGTGGAACTGCCAAACTGTTTTCCACAGCAGCTGCACTATTAAACATTCCTACCAGCAATGTACAAGAATTGCAATATCTCCACATCCTTAATAGCACTTGTTATTTTCTGTTGTTGTTGTTGTTTTTTAGAAGCCATCCTAGTGAGTATGAAGTGGTAACTCATTGTGGGTTTGATTTACATTTCCTTAATGACTACAGATGTTGAGTATCTTTTCATGTGTTTATTGGTAATTTGTATATTTTCTTAGGAGAAATGTCTCTCCAAGTCCTTTGTCCATTTAAAAACTGGGTTGCTTTTCTTTTTGCTGTTAAGTTGTATGAAATCTTTGTATATTATAGATACTAGATCCTTATCAAATATATGATTCATAAATATTTTCTTTCATTGTATCTGCTGTAATTTCACTTTACTGATAGTGTCCTTTTTATTTAAAAAATATTTATTTATTGGTCGTGCCAGGTCTTAATTGCTGCAGGGGGGCTCCTTAGTTGTAGCAGTCCCCTTAGTTGCAGCAAGGGGGCTCCTTACTTGCGGCACATGGGCTCCTTAGTTGTGTCATGCAAACTCTTAGTTGAGGTATGCATGTGGGATCTAGTTCCCTGACCAGTGATCAAAGCCCGGTCCCCCAGCATTGGGAGCGCAGAGTCTTATCCACTGCACCACCAGGGAAGTCCCGAGAGTGTCCTTTTATGCACAAAAGATTTTAGTTTTGATGAAGCCTAATTAATTTTGTTTTTTTTGTTTGTTGCTTATGCTTTTGGTGTCATATCCAAGACTCCATTACCAAACCCAAGGTCACAAAGATTTACCTCTATGTTTTATTTATTTTTAACTTTGTATTTTATATTGGAGTAGAGTTGATTAACAATTTTGTGTTAGTTTCAGGTGTACAGCAAAGTGATTCAGTTATACATATACATGTATCTATTCTTTTTCAAATTCTTTTCCTGTTTAGGTTGTTACATAATATTGAGCAGAGTTCCCTTTGCTATATAGTAGGTCCTTGTTGAAGATTTACCTCTATGTTTTCTTCCATGACTTTTAGAGTTTTATAGCTCACACTTAAGTCTTTGATGCATTTCGATGTATTTTTTTGCATATGGTGTAAGGTAGGGTTCTACCTTCCCTTGCAAGTGGACCTCCAGTTGTCCTATCACCATTTATTAATGCGACTGTTCTTTGTCAATTGAATGGGTTGGGATTCTTGTCAAAAATCGATTGAGTATAGATGTATTGGTTTATTTCTGGATTCTCAATCATATTCCACTGAGGTATATGTGTATTTTTAATGTCTGTTCCACACTGCTTTGATTACTGTAGCTTTGCAGTATGTTTTGAAATTGGGGGGTGTGAGTATTCCATTTCTGTTCTTCTTTTCAAAATAATGTTGACCTGTTTCAAGTTTGTATCTGGGTTCCCTTGCAATTCCATGTAAGTTTCAGGATCAGCTTTTTCATTTACCAAAAAAAAGGCCATTGGGATTTTCATAAGGATTGCACTGGATATGTAGATTACTTTAGGTACTTTTGCCATCTTGACACTATTAAGTCTTCTAATTCATTAACACAGGATGTCTTTCCATTCATTTAGGTCTTCTTTAATTCAACAATGTTTTGTAGTTTTCAGTGTACATGTATTGCACCTATTTGGTTAAATTTATTTCTAAGTATTTTATTCTTTTTGATGCTACTGAAAATTGAATTTTCTCAGATTCCTATCTGGATTGTTCATTGCTAGTGTTTAGAAATACAATTAATTTTCATGTGTTGATCTTTTATCCTGAAGTTTCACTGAATTTGTTTATTAGCCCTAATAGTTTTTTGTGGATTCCTTATGATTTTCTATATAAGATCATGTCAGCTGCAAAGAGGGGTAGTTTTACTTGTTTCTTTCTAATTTGGATGCCTCTTGTTTCTTTTTTTTCTTAATATTTATTTATTTATGTATTTAGGCTGCACCAGGTCCCAGTTGTGGCACGTGGGCTCCTTAGTTGTGGCATGTGGGATCTAGTTCCCTGACCAGGGATCAAACCCAGGCCCCCTGCATTGGGAGTGCAGAGTCTTACCCACTGGACCACCAGGGTGCCTCTTATTTCTTTTTTCTTGCCTTATTGCTCAAGTTAGAACTTTCAGGACAATGCTGCTTATACAATTTTGAATAGAAGAAGCAAAAGCAGGCATTCTTTTTGTTGTTGTTGTTCCTGATCTTACGGGGAAATCTTTCAGTCTTTCACTATTGATGTTAGTTGTAGTTTTTTTTTTTTTTTTCATAAATGCCCTTAATCAGATTGAGGAAGTTCTCTTTATTCCTAGTTTGTTGAATGTTTTTATCCTGAAAAAGTGTTGGATTTTGTCAAATTATTCTTCTGCATCAGTTGAGATGGTTACGTTTTTCCTTCATTCTATTAATACTGTATATTACATTGATTGATTTTTGTATGTTGAATCCCTCCTGAGATAAATATCATTTAGTCATGGTGTGTAATTCTTTTAACATTTTGCTGGATTTGGTTTGCAAGGATTTTATTGAGGATTTTTTGCATCTATACTCATAGGGGATATTGGTCTGAAATTTTCTTTTCTTGTGATGTCTCTGGTTTTGGCATCAGGTAATGCTGGCCCCATCAAATGAGTTAAGAAGTGTTCACTGCTTTTCTATTCTTAGAAGAGTTTGAAAAGGATTAGTGTTAATTGTTCCTTAAAAGTTTGATGCAATTCACTAGTGAAGCCATCTTATCTGGTCCTGGACTTTTCTTTGTCAGAAGGGTTTTTTGTTTGTTTGTTTTGTTTTTTAAACTACTGATTCAATCTCTTGTTTTAAGGCTGCTCAGATTTCCTATTTTTTCTTCTTGAATCAGTTTTGGTGGTCTGTATGTTTCTAGGAATTTGCCCATTTTATCTAGGTTACCTAACTTGTTAGTGTACACTGTTCAGAGTTTTCTCTCATAATCCTTTTTATTCCCTTAAATTCGCTAGTAATGTCCCCATTATGCTGTGTTTAAGTCATCTTTTTCTTGATTGAGGATTCACTTGGATGCTACAAACGCTCAGCTATTTCCCAGAGTTCCCACAAAGTCAATTCTGACACTTATTTTTTGGGGGTTTCTGTGTAGGGATGGGCCCGTGCAGCTTCCTATTCTGCCATTTCCATTGACGTCCCTTCTAATCTTTGTTTTGTTTTGCTTTCGAGCAGAATGGCAAAATGCCTCTGATGTGCCAAGTTCCTTCCTCCATACATCCTCTGTGACTGGGACGCAAGTCTTCCATGCCCCGCCTTCCCACTTTCTGGGTTACCTGTCCCCCACTACTTCTCTGAAGCCCCCTCTAACAGTCAGCTACTCCCCTCCAAATTTTCTCCACCTCCCCCCTTTCTCTTTTTTGCACTGTTAAGAGCTGGCTCTTCTTTCCTCAACTTTATTAGACGCACGCGCGCACGCACGCACGCACGCACGCACACCCTGCTCTTCTCCTTTGGAGATTCCTCACACGCAGTCAGCAGGCTGGAGCCAGCAGGCTGGAGCGCCTCAGGGGCAGCACGGACGCTCACTTGTAAGCCCCAAGGGCCTCCGGCCAACCAGAGCTCCGCTCGAACTTGCGCTCGCAGAGCAGAGCGTGCATGTGCGCCTCTCCAGAGCACGGAAAGCGACGGCCTGGCCGGCCGCTTGCGCCGCCGGAGCGACGTGGAAGTGAAACGCGCGGGGCTGGGCCGGGGCCCCCGGAGAGCGGGCCGAGAAACTCGGCGGCTTTCTCTGGTTTAAAAAACAAAGAAAGAAAGAAAAGAGAGAGCGAGGAGGGTGAGAGAAAGGGAGCGAGGAAGAGGAAAGAGGGAGGGGTTCTATGCTAGACGGCTGGGGCCCTGAGGCCGGAGGGGAGGCTGCGGGACCGCAGCTCGGCTCGGAGGTCGGAGGCCGGGGCTTTCCCGTAATAACGGACGAAATTTCGGAGCCAATCAGCCGTGGAGGAAAGAAAAAAAGGTACTGCCGGACTGAGGCATTTTTCTAGCTTCAGTGGGGAGCGCGCCGGGTGCAGCGACCTGGGAGCCCGAGGCCCCAGAGAGTAGCCCTGGATTCGGCCGCGTCTCCCAGGTGCCCGCGTAGGCCGGGCGGCCGGCGGGAAAGGAAGCACCTCCTCCCAGAACTCACGTACCGGATTTCAGCAATAACGTTCGCGCAATAAGCAAACATACATATTTTAAAGTGAATATTACTATTCCATTTGTTTTCTATTTGAACTTTTCTTTGAGTGAACTGGCTTACAATGATTTAGTCTGTTTTCTGAAATCTCAATAGTCTTTTTCTTTAAATAGCTGACTAAATCATCGGGTGTTGCCCCAGTTCTGTCTGTAGACGGCTTGCTCTTAGAGAATTGTTTCTCTTGAGGGATCGCAGCCAAGGAGCAAGTCTGCATTTACGTTTTCTGCCTGTGGACTGCTACCTGAAATTATTTAAGTTATCTCCTCTGTTTATTAATATCTTTAAGGTATTTATGAGCAAACAGAATAATCATTCCCTAACCTCTGTCTCCATTCAGGTGGACAATGGAGCTCCCCCCGACCCTGTTTGCACTCCAGTTTACTAGAAAAAGATATGTGAGAGCTGAGGGGGAAGAATGTGAGGAGTTCTTTCTCTGTAAGTAATCTTATTCATTAATTGACTCAAGAGATAATTATTGAGCACCTCTTGTATGCCAGGCACTGTGCCAGGCAGTAGGACTACTCACCATCTCTAAGGAAAGATAAAAACAAAACAGAAAGTACTGGTACTGTTCATGGATCTACCAATGTTCTGTTCTAGTTACCTTCTGAGAAAATCTTTCCCCTCATACAAAGACAAATTTCTTAATGGACTGAAATCACATCTGTTTTCCAACCAAGCCAAATAGCTTTGATTTGGTAAAGATTGCCAGAAAGATTTTTGTAGTGAATAAGAGAACAAATCAACATGTTAACTCTACCCAGAAAAAGCTAGTGATAGTATTTTTTCTTTATTGGAGGTGAGGAGAGAGAGAGAAATAGTGCTCCCTACTATAAATCATATAATGAAATGATTTTTGTTGTTGTTAATAACTCAGGTGAGAAAACTGTTGTCACAGATGAAATTTGAAGTTAGCAAACCAGGAAGTACATCTCAGGATCCTTCTACCTACTAACCTCTAAGTTACTATTAGTTGCTATATAATTTTAAAGCTATTTTAATATGTAAAAATTTTTTTTATCAGTTGCCATATTTTCGAGCTTTGTGTAGGAATAGTAAGAAAAAATAGATTTGGCCTTAGAAATCAAGGAGTCTATCTTTGTAGTTGGGCAACTGGGGAAACTAGTTTGCACAAAGCTAAATAATAATGAAATAAAGTGTTTTCCTAAGGAAAACACTTGAGATTGATGAAAGGGGGGGGAAGAAAGAAATGGGGACAGTGTGTTTCTTTTTTGCCAGGAAAAGTACCTCAGGTAAATAGTTCTCAGGAGGAGGCAGTAGCTACACCACAGAACCAAAGGTGGAAATTTCTGGAAAGTGCCCTCAGAAAGTGACCTAGGATTGTGAGGGGTCGATCAGTTTGAAAGGAGTGATATCTTTGAAATAGAAGAGCAGAATTAATAATTTCCATGCCGAGTCCTACATGACGTAGATCAATCACGTATAAAGTAAAAGAGAGGGGAATAGTTTTCACAGTTTCAGTTGAAAAGTAGTACAGTTGCAGGAAATGGGGGGGTTGATGGAACTGCAACTTGCCCCTGGGCAAGGTTGAAGAAACTACCTTTGGGTGTCAAATGCAAATGAAATAGATTTTTTCTTTTCTTTTTTCTGTCTTTTCCCTCTTGTATAAGAAAATGTTACCAAGTGTTGGAGGTGGGGTACGAATAAACATTACTTGGGGAGAGTGAAATTATATAACATCTACAGAGGAAAATTATCAATATCCATGAAAAATTTTAAGGGACATCTATTTTATTCAGCAATTGCTCCTCTAGAAATTATTCTGCAGATACATCTGCACATGTGCAAAATGGCCCATGTATAACAATAGCCACTGTAGCTTTGTAATAACAAGATATGAGACAATTTCAGTGGCCATAAATGAGGAGGGATTAATTAAATTATGAGGTTTCTCTAAAATTAATCATGTACAGCTATGGTCCAGAATGTAGCAGATCTAGCAAATATGTAATGATTTCCAAGATACACTGTTGAGTGAAATAAGAGAGGTACCGGATAATGTATGTAAAATGCTTCAAATTAAACTTTAGAAATATTTGTATGTGTGCTTGTATGTACATAGAATATTTCTGGAAAGACACACAAAAAGTTGTTGACTATTGTCTCAAGGGAGGGAAGTAGATGTACTGAATACAATTTACTGCCAGTTTAAAAGCAAATGTATAAACTATCTAATACTAGTAAAACAAATAACTAATAAAGCAAGTCAAGTACTGGTAGAAGGAAGTTGTTTCTTGAACTGACCACATTCTGTTTTGTAAGAACTCTGCAACTGTCAAAATTGCATTTACAGGAAGAGAAAAAAGAAAACTCCAGGGTAAGTCATTCAGTTAGTCCCTTATCTAAGCCTTAATTTCCTCATTTGTAAAATGGGTATGAGGGTGACTACTTTGCAGGCTTGTTGTCTGGATTAAACATAAAGAATATAAATTATTATACATGCTAGCACGTGCACGCATGCACACACTTCTGGCTCAGGCTTCCAGTTTCCCCAAAGCAGTTCCCAAAGGAAGACCAAATGGGGCTTGAAGCAGGAAGAATTTAGGTATAACCAGGGCATTTTCTCACTAGCACGGGATTTAGCATTAGCAATAAGTCCCATCTCTTTGGATTTCATTCACTAAACAAACATTACATATCAAGTACTGTGCAGGCTGCTTGGATACAGTGATGAGCAAGACAAAACTGTGCTTTAAAAAATATTATGCAGTTTATACATGAATGTGTCTGCATTCAAATGTTATAGAACAGAATTAATGTTTCCCTTTGCTGCTACTCTTTTCCCCAGAGGTAATTGCTGATATCCTCATAAAGTTGGGGGAAATACTTTATGACTTTGTTTGGTGCATGTTGTTTCCTCTCTTAAAATAGCATCACACAGTACATGCTGTTCTATAACTGTCTAAAATGTCAATATGTCTTGGAGATTTTTGCAAAGAATCAGAAAGATTCTCCCTCATTCTTTTAAACTGCTGTAGGTAACCTATTGTATGGATAAATGTACAATTTAGTTAATCATTCCCCTAATGATGGAAACTTAAGTCGTTTTCTATTTTTTACTAGTATAAAATGGGCTATTAATGCTTGGTTATATATGTTACAAATGTTTTCTGCCAGCTTGTTGCTTGTATTATTACTTTATATATCGTATTATTTAGCTTACAGAATTTTAAAACTTTGATGGAAGCAAATGTATCATTTTTTAAAAAAGATGTCTTAACAACTTTGTTGTCTTAAGGCCTTTTACACACCCAAGATTATGAACACATTCTCCTACATTTTCTGTTAATGTTTGACATCGACATATTTTGTTCATCTGGACTTTCACTGTGTGTAAAGTTGTGGTAGGCAGTATAATGCCCTTACACCCAAGATGTCCATGTCCTAATTCCTGGAAACTGTGACTATATTAAATTCAAAATGGAATGGAAAAATGGAATGAAGGTTTCAGATGGAATTAAGGTTGGTAATCAACAGACCTTGAGATGATGGTATATTAGTTTCCTATTGTTGCTACAAGTTCTGTTGCTTAAAACAACACACATTTATTCTCTTACAGTTCTGGATGTCAGAAAGCCAACATCAGTTTTTACTGGGCTAAAGTCAAAATGTTTTCAGGGCTGATTTTTTTCTGGAGTCTCTGAATGGAAAGTCCCTTTTCTTGTTTTTTTCATCTTCTAGTGGCCACTTGTATTCCTTGGTTTGGGGCCCCTTTATCTTTGAAGCACATCTCTCTAATCTCTGCTTCTGTCATATCTCCTTCACCTCTCTTTCATGAAATCTCCCTCAATCTCCCTATTATAAGAACACTTGCAAGTATATTTAGAGTTCATCCAGATAATCTAGGATAATCTCCCCATTTCAAAATCCTTAATTTAATTACATATGCAAAAGTCCCTTTTTCCATATATGGTAGCAATCATAGGTTCCAGGAACTCAGGCTTGGATATCTTTGGAGGACATTATTCACTCTGCCATGTGTAGAGAGATTATCCTAGATTATCCAGATGGTCCTAATGTAATTATAATTTGTATAAATTGAAGAGAGAGGCATAACAAAGAACCAGAGAGCTAGCAGTGTGAGAAAGACTTAGTCCGATGGTGATGGCTCTGAAGATGAAAAAAGAGGGCAATAAGCCAAGGAATGTGGAAGGCCTCTAGAGAGTGGAAAAGGCAAGAAACAAATTATCCTACAGAGCCTCAGAAAGGAACACAGTCCTGTCAACACATTGATTTTAACCCATTTCAGAGTTTAATTTTAATAACACTTAGCATGAGATTTATCCTCTTAGTAGTTTTTTAAGTATACAATACAGTATTGTTGACTATAGGATAGATACAGTGTTGTAGCGCAGATCTCTAGAACTTATTCATCTTGCTTAACTGAAACTTTATGCCTGTTGATTAATAATTCACACATCCCCTCTCTCTGGCTCCTGGAAACCACCATTACACATTTTGATTCTATGAACTGGACTATTTTAGATACCTTGTATAAGTGAAATCATGCAATATTTGCCTTTCTGTGACTGGTTTATTTTACTTAGGATAATATCTTCAAGGTTCATCCATGTTGTCACATATTGCAGAGTTTCCTTCTTTTTAAAGGCTAAATAATAATCCATTGTATGTGTATACCACTATGACTTTATTCATCTGTTGATAGACATTCATGCTTTTTCACGTCTTGGCTATTGTGACTGGTGCTGTAATGGAGTGTAATGAACATGGGAGATTTCTTTGAGATCCTAGTTTCAATTCTTTTGGATAAATACCTAGAACTGGAATTGCTTGGTCATATGGTAGTTCTATTTTTATTTTTTGGCTACACCGCACAGCATGCGGGATCTTAGTTCCTCGACCAGGGATCAAACCCATGCCCCCTGCATTGGAAGTGCAGATTCTTAACCACCAGACCACCGGGGAAGTCCCAGTAGTTCTGTTTTTAATCTTTTGAGGAACCTCTATACTGTTAACCATAGTGGCTACACTATTTTTCTTTCCCACCAACAGTGCACAAGGGTTCCAATTTCTCCACATCCTAACCAACACTTGTGGTCTTTTCCTTTTTTTTTTTTTTTTTTTTTAAATAATAACCATCCTTACAGGAGTGAGGTGATATTTCATTGTGGCTTTGATTTGATTTGTATTTCCCTGATGGTTATAGACTGTGGAGCATTTTTTTTTTTTTAAGAAGATGTTGGGGGTAGGAGTTTATTAATTAATTTATTTAGTTTTGCTGTGTTGGGTCTTCGTTTCTGTGCGAGGACTTTCTCTAGTTGTGGCAAGCGGGGGCCACTCTTCATCGCGGTGCGCGGGCCTTTCACTGTCGCGGCCTCTCTTGTTGCGGAGCACAGGCTCCAGACGCGCAGGCTCAGTAGTTGTGGCTCACGGGCCTAGTTGCTCCGTGGCATGTGGGATCCTCCCATACCAGGGCTCGAACCCGTGTCCCCTGCATTAGCAGGCAGATTCTCAACCACTGCGCCACCAGTGAAGCCCTGAAGCATTTTTTCATATACCTGATAGCCATTTATATGTCTGCTTTGGAGAGATGCCTATTCAAGTCCTTAGTTCACTTTAAAATCAGGTTTTGGTTTTTGGCTGTTGAGTTGTAGGACTTCCTTACATATTTTGGATATTAACCCCTTATAAGTTATATAGTTTTCAACTATTTTCTCTGAGTCCATAAATTGCCTTTTCACTCTGTTGTTTCTGTTGCTATAAAGGAGCTTTTTAGTTTGATGTAGTCCCAGTTGACTGTTTTGCTTTTGTTGCCTGGGCTGTTGTTGTCATATACAAAAAAATCATATTCAAGACCAATAAAGCTTTTCCCCAACATTTTCTTCTAGGAGATTTACACTTTCAGAATTCTTCTTTAAATGTTAATCCATTTTGAGTTGATTTCTGTGTATGGTATAAGATAAGGGTATTATTTCATTCTTTAGCATATAGATATTCAGTTTTCCCAACACCATTTGTTGAAGAGATTATCCTTTCCCCATTGTGTATTCTTTGCACTTTTGTCAAAGATCAGTTGACCATGTATGCATATGTTTATTTCTGGGCTCTCTAGTCTGTTCCATTGGTCCAAATCTCTGTCTTTATGCCAGTACAGTACTGTTTTGACTATTGTAGCTCTGTAATATATTTTGAAATCAGGAAGTGGAGTGCCTCCAGTTTTGCAAGATTGCTTTATCTATTCAGGTTCTTTGGTGTTTCCATATGAGTTTTAGGATTGCTTTTTCTACTTCTGTGAAAAATGCTGTTGGAATTTTGATAGGGGTTACATAGAATCTGTAGATCACTTTGGGTAGTATGGACATTTTAACAATATTAATTCTTCAATCCATGAATATGGATATCTTTCCATTTGTTTGTGTCTTTATCAACGTCTTATAGTTTTCAGTGCATGGGTCTTTCCCATCCTTGTTTAAATTTATTCCTAAATATGCTGTTGTTTTTTATGCTATTATGAATGAGATTGTTTCTTTAATTTTCTTTTCAGATAGTTCAGTGTTAGTATATAGAAATACAACTGATCTTTGTATCCTGCAAATTTACTGAATTTATTAGTTCTAACAGTTTCTTGGTGTAGTCTTTTTTCTATATATAAGATATTGTCATTTGCAAACATGGAAAGTTTTACTTCTTTCTTTCCAATTTGGATGCCTTTTATTTCTTTTTCTTACCTAAATGTTCTAGCTATAATTTCTAGTACTGTGTTAAATAGAAGTAGCAAGAGCAGTTATCCTTGTCTGTTACTAATATTAAAGGAAAAGCTTTCAATTTTTTACCATTTAGTGTGAGGTTAGCTGTGGGCTTGTCATATATGGCTTTTATTATGTTGAGGTAATTTCCTTATATTCCTAGTTTTTTGAAAGTTTTTATCATAAAAGGATATTTGAATTTTGTCAAGTGCTTTTTGTTCATCTATTGAGATGATTGTGTAATTTTTATTCTATATTCTGGTATTGTGGTGTATCACATTTATTGATTTGTATATGTTGAACCAACATCTTTGCATCCCAGGGATAAATCCCACTTGGTCATGATCTACAGTCCTTTTAAAAAAAGCTGTTGAATTTGGTTTGCTAGTATTTTGTTTTTTGGTTTTTTTTGCATTTGTATTCATCTGGGATATTGGCCTGTAGTTTTCTTTTCTTGTAGTGTCTTTTTCTGGCTTTGGTATCAGGATAATGCTGACTTCATAAATGAATTTGGAAGTGTATACTTCTCTTCAAGTTTTTGGAAGAGCTTGAGACAGATTGGCATTAATTCTTTTAAAGTGTTTGGTAGAATTCATTAGTGAAGCCATCTGGTCC